CACACACACACACACACACACACACACACACACACACACACACACACACAAAATAGTTTAAATTCTAATCTCCAATACCTCAAATGACCTTATTTGTAGACAAGGCTACAGAGGTAATCAAGGCAACTTGGGCTCTTTAAGGTGACCAATATTGTTGATGTCCTTGTGAAAAGGAAGAATTTGGAAAATGATGTGAGGAGTTCCAGAGGGGCAACAGTGGCGCACACACGGCCAGGTGAGAGGCTCAGGTCATGTCCTCCATCACACCCAACAATGGAACAGCTGACAAACTCATGGCTCTGTGAGAGACGTTCAGCTTGAGCAGGTTAAGTGACACCCACATCCTCCTGTCATATTATCCTTCTACTCTGTGCACAGGACATCAGCACCCCAGGTCCTTACTGCTCACCCTCCAGGGCATCAAGGGACAAATGAACTCACACACCCATCTATAGCAAGAAATCTAAGGAAGTCTGCTTAAGAGGTATAATGAATTTATTAGGACATAAATCGGAAAAGGCAACTCACTAAACAGAATAGGTGAATTGTCGCAGGGTCCTGGAAGGCTTATGTCCTGTCCCACATTGTTCTGCTGCCTGAGTCAGTCCACACCATCCAAGCTCATGAGGGAGAGAGAGATCATGGCATACGTGCCTCTCAGGTCTTAAGGGTAGCCCTGAGGCCATGCCCTAGGGGCTGGTGCTTCAAGGTCATAGGTGGAAGAGTATCCACTACATCTCCCCCTTTTGTCTAAATAAGAAAGTTCTAACTAACCTAATACAGAACTACATACAATAGGAACAATTATTAAGTATTGTCCAGGAGAGGGGAAAGGCAATAACATAAACAAAATAGAAATACAATCAGCAATAACAACATCAAACAAGAGACACACACTAAATATCCAGAAATGTCCAGACCACTAATAGCTGTCCTAGCCTAAAGATTCTGACTTTAGTACCTAAAGTGTTCTTAGCTAAGAGATGAGAAGATTATAACTGTAACTATCTAGTCTTCAACCCCATCAAAGACCTGAGAAGGAAGATAATGTTACCTGAGAAAACAGGAAGTGTAAGCAAGCAATTTCACAATTGTTTAAGGTATTATACCTATGTAGTTCATTTAAAATAGAAGGTAAAGTTCTCATTTTTGAAAGCTAATATTATAAATTATTTAGGATAATCAAAAATATAGGTTAGTAGTTATTCATCTATAACAATAAAATTTGTAGATATGTTAGGTATGTTTTCAGGATCATAGAGAGATATATTTTAGGTAGATGGCCTTCAGATACTTCAAAGACCTATAGAATAAGGCATTTAAAATATTTTGTTAATGTAAGGTTTTTCATGATAATGAGAGACATCTGCTCCTGGCAACACCAATTCACTTCAGAGATGATGGGCATCGAAGAAACTCCTTATGAAGTTGCTTTCAATGTGGCAAGCCTAGCCATTTGGGCAAGAAACTGCTCTTACCTGGACTGTTTGACAGTGTATTGTATAAACTGGACATGCAGGACCCAGGGGAAAATGACCACTGAACTTCACCAAAACAGGGTAAGATGGTCCCTTGGGTTCCTGCTTCACAGAAGATACTGCCAGACATTCTGCAGGACACAAAGAAAAGCAACTGGTGAACTTTGCTAAGACAGATGAAATGGTCCTTCAAATTTCCTGTTTCACTAAAAAGTCTGCCAAAGACTCTAGGCCTGTAGGCTGAAGATGGATGCCCCAACATTAGAGAAGAACTTTGGGCAACTGTCCAGGCAGCCAGATGTCTCTGTCTTTCTAGAATTTTGGAAGTTGATTACAATGCACTTCCTGTTTACTTAGGTAATATTATATCCTTCTGGGGTCTTTTATGGAGTTGAAGACTAGGTAGTTATAATTATAGTTTTCCTTAGTTATGATGAAACATAAATTAGATATGAAACCTTAGACTCACAACCATAGGATAGATGATAGAATATTTTCTTTAATTTTGCCAAATATTGTAAGTGTAATTCTTGCTTGATAACTGTTTTGTTATATGTAATTTTACTATGTTAAAATGAAAACCCTCCTTTTTGATTAGACAGAAAAGGAGACGTGCTGTGGGATGGTCTTTCTGGGTGCTGTGAATATGTGTTGCTACCATTGCTAAAGAAGCTGCTATGGCCTATGACAAGGCAGAATAGAGCCAGGTGGGGAATCCAAACAGAGAGACCAGGAGAAGAAGGCAGAGTCAGTGAAGACATTGAGCACTGCTCGGGAAGCAAGATGTGATGGAACACAGGTAATGCCATGGCTGCGTGTCAAAACATAGATTAATAGAAATGGGTTAATTTAAGATCAAGGCGCTAGCTAGAAAGAAGCCTGAGCCATAGACCAAACAGTTTGTAATTAATTTTAAGCCTCTGATCGATTATTTTAAAAGCAGCTGTGGGACTGTGGGACCAGGGCAGGACAGAGAAAAGTGTCTAACTACACCCATCAGCAGCCAGTCTGTCCACATGGTTCTGTCCCAGCTAGAGGCCTCATGAAGGAATCATGTCTCACTATCAGCACCAAGAATCACAGGACTCAAAATAAAAGCCTGTGTGATGACAGAGAATGGCTTGGATTTCTTTCCAGTCACGCAACTGTATGACCGCTCACCTGGTGCACATTGCATGCTCCCTAATGTGCTGCTCTCAGGCTTCCATAGTATAACCCACTTTTCATTATCCCATTCACAATAAACCTAAGAAGACAGATGGTGTTCAATGTGTCACAGCTGACTAGAGGTTCCATTGCTCTTGGCTACTTTTCGCCCTAAGCTTCTGTGTGAGTTGCTTTTCATATCAGTGTGCTGCAGCACCTTCTGGGGAAAAAAAAAAACTTAGGAAATGGAGGACTTATTCTGGCTTGCAGTTCAGGGGGGACAGTCCATCATGATGGGAAAGGCATGGTGGCAGGGTTGGCGTGGTCTGTGGCAGTGTGGAATGTCAGGCAGCCACCTGTTACCTGGCACAGAGCAAGAAGCAGAGAGGTTGAGGAAAAGTGTGAACCCAGGCTAACCCACTTCCTCCCCCAGGTCCCCAGCCACTAAAGGTTCTACAGCTTCCTAAAACAGCACCCCTGCTGGGAACCGAGTGTTTAACCATGTGGTCCTGTGGGAGACACTTCATACTCAAATCATAACAATTACTAACCATGAAAATAAAACACTGGATAACATGCTATATTGAGGAAAATCTGTCACCATGCCAATCAGGGTTACATCAAACACGGTGACCTTCTACTAACGTCTGTCTATAGAGTGGTAATCATCCCAGCTCTGGTCATTGATAAGGGGCCCGTGACAGAGTTAGGCTATTGGCTATCGGAATATAATGAAAACGGGTAGGCTGTGCTTTTTGCCCTTTGATTTTAATTTTGTGTCCCCACAGCATCTTGCCGAGTTCCAGTGGACAGTGGGCACTTAATATATTAACATACCTGACATGAGTAATGAGCTGTGTTATAATTGGGTGAAATTATATAAATAATTAAGGTTTCAGTCAAAGTCTGTAATAGAGAACAAGGCTTAATTCAACTTAGGAAGGGCACGGAGTCCTTGCTAATGACAAGATTGAAGGCTTGTTAATACTCTAGGAAAAGTGTGGTCATTAACACTTGCCTATTTTGCCTCCCAGTGTGGGTGTGTGTCCCCTAGGCCTTACCATGTTGGCTCATGAAACTCAATTCTCTTATTTTGTGTCTACTTATCAGATGGTCCTTAGTCCTCATAGCCACAAATTCATAGTTTGGGGGATGCGCAACAGTGGGAGGCATAGTTCCTTCTAAGACTGAAAAGTCTTAGAGAGAATGAGGATGGATAAGTGCGTGTAAAACATTAAAATGTGCCCTTACAGGAAGGCTGAAGGCCAAGGCAAGGACTGGCACTTCAGTTCCCTTAAAGAGCAGTCATCTAACAATTAGTGAGAACGTCTTCTAAAAATAAATGTCTAAAATAATAATCATTATGGGTGAAGTTCTAAGATCATAAAACATAATAGATGTTGGAGATAGCTTTTAATAAAGTCACTGAAGCAGAGACCTGCCTGTCAACACATTATCCTTGTATTAGCTGGAATCTGACATAACAGGATGATATTTGCTGCTATGAGTGAGTAAAATATGACTTATAGGCTTCAAAATCCACTTATAGAAAATCTGTAAGAATGAAATTCCATCCAGATTACAGCAATAGATTATTAACAAGCCAGGGGAACATATTCCCCACACACACCCCACCCCGCTTACCTCTCAGTCCACAGTTTTCCAACCTGTTCTCCAAGGACATGTGTTTCTTAATGCTGACAGGTGGGAGCCCCACACTCAAACCTACACCTTAGTCAGATCTCACAGCACATTGTTCCACATTGTTCATGTCACAGGAAAACCAGTCTTAAGAGTCCTCGCCCCCCCCCATTGACACCTGGGACAGTTGGAGAAGCTAGCCCTGGGATCATGGGAGCCGAACGGCTGTCCCTGCCCCCCATCAGCTGCAGCACTCAGCAGAGTCACCCCTGCACCTCACCGGGGCAGCACAGTAGAGCTGGCCCTGACAGGGTAGGTGTGGGAGACCTGACCTCACCCTAAGGGCCTGAAAGCAGGAGAATTGACCCCGCCCCTCGCTCATTGCTGCAAGGGCTGGAGAGCTCCCCCTGGTGGTGAGGATGGGGGAGAGCTGGGAGGCTGACCAACCCTGCACCTACCCAGGCCCAGAATCAGGGTTATATGTTGGCCCACCCCAGCATCCACCCCATCTATGATCTGCTGGAGCACATGAAGGGGCCTGACCTGCAGACCCAAAGCTGCAGGATCTTCACAACACAGGGCAACAACAGGATATCCAAGAAGAGTCCCTGTGAGGGCCCAGCATTGATAGTGTAGAAAACACCTGAGGCTTCGAACCAGACCAATGACTCTTTGCAATAAACATTTAAAAGTAAAGATACATAGACAAAGGAGTTTACAGTGTGACTCACAGTGTCACACTGCAGCTTCCATGGTGAGATTTTTAATTTTTTTTCCTTTTCTTTTTTCTTTTTGCTTTATTTTGAGGAGTTGTAGCAGGGGAGGGTAGACTTGAAGGGACAGGGAAATGAACGAGATCAAGATGTATGATGTGAAAGACACACGGAATAAATAAAAAGTAAAAAAAAAAAAAAGAATTTAATCTTAGACTGTAATCACTTTGATTTCCCATCCACGGGGCAATCTTTCCATCCAAGGACAAAACTATGGTGTTTTGGGTAAAGGGTCCTGAATGTCCTGTCCTCGGGCATCATTTTACCAGAAACTTGGTGCTTTCAGGGGAATCTTATATTTGGGACAACAGCCTTGTAGAAGCTCATGACACAATTAGGGCCTAATATCCACCTGGAAATAGCAGATATTCTCAGATATCTGGAGTTTGTGGGCACCTGCTTATGACAGTGTGTCACTTTGAAATATTATCACAGTTCTTTATGATTTTCTCTCAGACTTGTCTACCTGTGGCCCTGAGCTGGGTGCTCGTGTCTCTGCAAAAACACCACAATCAGGACTCCATTTGGTTAGAAAGTATCAGCATCCAAGATTCTAAATGTATCCAGTGGAGATAGAGCTCATTGAAGACACAAAGAACAAACACACAGAGAAATAAAGGGAACCAACAAAACCATTGAAATTTAAATTGACAGTTCATATAATACTCAGTGATAAATAATGGAATTAAATGTTTCTCGGGGATAAACAACTTGGGGGTAACAGAAAAGACACACATTTCAGGCATACCTGCTCCTCTTTCACTTTCGCTTCAGCATTTCAAAAAGCAAACATCATAAAACCATCTCCCCAGTGGAATGCTGGCGGCAAATTCCACAGGACAGAACATCATTCTCTTTTTAGATAGCCTACAATTGAATTATTCTGATTCAAATGAAACTTCCCTTGATGTGATTATAGTTTATGAAGGTTTAACTTTCAAATAGAGAGGTTACATTAGGGAGAGGCAATGCAGAGGATCCTGTACAGTCAAAAGACCTTGATGAGTATACATTCAGTGCTGCTGTGTGGGTCTGGGGGTGGAGGGGAGCGGGGAGAAGGAGAGGGAGGAGAGGGACAGAGATGGGGGAGAGGGAGAGAGAGGGCAGACGGGGAGAGAGGGAAAAAAGGGAGAGGAGAGGGAAAGAGGGGGAAAGGGAGACGGGGGGTGGGGACAGAGAGGGGAGGAGAGAGGTAGGGGGGAGAGGGGGGGAGAGAGAGAGAGGAAGACGGGGGGGGGGGCAGTTTAATTCTATGGCAATGGGCCACTTGCCTGCATGAATGTCTGTGCACCACGCACATGCCTGATACTCATGGAGGTTAGAAGAGGATGTAGGATTATCTGGAGTTAGAGGTGGTTCTGAGCTGCCATGTGGGTGCTAGGAAATGATCCCAGCTTCTCTGCAAGAGAACAAGTGTTCCTAACCACTGAGCAGTCTCTCCAGCCCCTGGCACATTTTTTTTTAAATATAAAATTGTAAGGAGAAAGTTCATAGAAGAAAAACAAGCAATATGTGAGCCGCATAAGAAGATGTTGCTAAAATAAATGGATACAAGTTTAACAAGGTA